CATCCCTGTACTTCCCATTCCATCTCTTTATATCCCTGTCCATCCCTCTATTTCCATCTCTTTCCTTCCCTATAATTCCCTGTCCATCCCTGCACGACCCTCTCCGGTTGTATCCCTGAGTGTCTCCGGTTGTATCCCCAATATTCCCTGGTTGTATCCCCGATATTCCCTGGTTGTATCCCTGATAGTCTTCAGTTCTATCCCCGGGGGTCTCCAGTTTTAGTCCTGATATTCCCAGGTTGTATCCCCGAGGATTTCCAGTTGTATCCCGGAGTGTCTCCGGCTGTATTCCCAACACTCTCCACTTGTATCCCTGACACACTCTGAGGGTGACCCCTGAAGGGTTCCCCTGTCCCCGTGTCCGGATGGGGATTGGGTTTTGGGAATGTCACTGTTGGGAATGTCACTGTCGGGAATGTCATGTCGGGAATGTCATGTCGGGAACATCACTGTCGGGAATGTCACTGCTGGGAATGTCACTGATCCCACTGTTGTCCCACAGCTCCAATGCCCGGCTCGGGGATCGGGATGGGCGTCAGGGTGATGGGAATGTCACTGATCCCCCTGTTGTCCCACAGCTCCAACACCGGGCCCTGGGGCTGGATCAGGGCCGGGATGGGGCTCAGGGCAGTGGGAATGTGGCTGATCCCGGTGTTTTCCAGGCTGGGGGAGCAGTACTACCGGGATGCCATGGAGCAGTGCCACAGCTCCAACGCCCGGCTCTGGGGTCGGGATGAGGCTCAGGGTGATGGGAATGTGGCTGATCCCGGTGTTTTCCAGGCTGGGGGAGCAGTACTACCGGGATGCCATGGAGCAGTGCCACAGCTACAACGCCCGGCTCTGCGCCGAGCGCAGCGTCCGCCTGCCCTTCCTCGACTCCCAGACCGGCGTCGCCCAGAGCAACTGCTACATCTGGATGGAGAAACGGCACCGCGGGCCCGGTACGGGAATGGCACCGGGAATGTTGACGGGGACAGCGGGAACACAGCGGGAATATGGATGGGGACAGTGGGAACACAGCAGGAATACAACGGGAATACAGCTGGGGACAATGGGAACACAATGGGAATACGGCCGGAGACAACGGGAACACAGTGGGAGAACAATGGGAATACAGCGGGAATATGGCAGGAATACAGCTGGGGACAACGGGAACACAACGGGAATATGGATGGGGACAACGGGAACACAGTGGGAACACAGCGGGAATGCAACTGGGGACAACAGGAACACAGTGGGAAAACAACGGGAATACAGTGGGAATACAACTGGGGACAGTGGGAGAACAAGGGAACACACCCGGAATATAGTGGGAATACAACCAGGGACAACAGGAACACAGTGGGAGAACAATGGGAATACAGCGGGAATACAGCTGGGGGACAACGGGAACACAGTGGGAGAACAACGGGAATACAGTGGGAATACAGCCAGGGGACAATGGGAGAGCAATGGGAATACAGCGGGAATACAGCCAGGGACAACAGGAACATAGTGGGAGAACAATGGGAACACACCGGGAATACAGCGGGAATACAGCCGGGGACAATGGGAACACAACGGGAGAGCAATGGGAGCACACTGGGAACAGTGGGAGAACAAGGGAATACAACAGGAATATGCCTGGGAAATAACGGGAACACCCAGGAAACACCAGGAACACAATGGGAACACATTGGGAATACAGCTGGGGACAACGGGAACGCTGGGAGAACAAGGGAACACAACAGGAATACAGCAGGAACACACCTGGGAACAACAGGAACACACCCAGGGAAACAACAGGAACAGACTGGGAATGCTGGGAGAACAAGGGAACACACTGGGAATACGCCTGGGAAATAGTGGGAACACCCAAGGAACACCGGGAATGCGGCAGGAAGGGGACACGGGGGGGAGGAAGTGTCACCCCTTGGGATAATTTTGGGGTGTTTTGTCCCCTCCTGGAGCAGTTTTGGGTTGTTCTGTTCCCCATCCCGGGGCTGTTTTGGGCTCATTCCCGTTGTTTTCCAGGCCTGGCCGCGGGACAGCTCTACTCGTACCCGGCGCGGCGCTGGAGGAAGAAACGCCGCGCCCACCCCCCCGAGGATCCACGGCTGGCATTCCCTTCCATCAAACCCGGTAATTCCTGACATTCCAG